CGAAGCATGTTCTAGGTAAGCATTTTTATTGTTGCTGTTTGATGATCAAATGATCACATTGTGGCCCCTGGGAGATCCTTTCAAATAAGTGGCTGTTTTGTGCTTTTAGGATAGCCTGTGATTGTCGGAAGCATCTTTGCTATCGGACAGCAAAAGGCTATTTCAGATCGATCATGGGATTTTGTTTTTGTTTTGTTTTTAATTTTTAGTTTTTTGACTCAAGACATGAATTCAACTACAACCCCAGGGAGTTTCTTTTGCTCTTAGTGAAAATTAGTATCACAGACAAAATTGAAGAGCCGGGAATCGGCTATTTTTGTCTTTTATATCACTGTTCTCTTTTTAAATGATGATGTAGGTTTCTCTCCTGAGGAGATACATTGATCTTCAGAGTCATTGTGATAATGTGTACCTCTGTTACGGAAAACAGCACGGAGGTTCCTCAAAAAATTAGAACTATCATGCATGTAGCAATCCCGCTGCTGTGCATATACACCCAAAGGAAAATGCGATCAGTGTGTGGAGGAGATGCCTGCACTCCCATGTTCACTGCAGTACCATTCGCAATAGCCACGACGTGGGATTAACCGAAGTTCCCAGTGTCGGGTGAATGGGAAAGAAAACCCGGTACATGTGCATAATGACATACTATTCAGCCCGAAAATGGAATGCAATTCTGTCATTTGGGACAACAGGGATGAACCTGGAGGATATTCTGCTAAGTGAAATAAGCCAAATACAGAAAAACAAATTCCACATGATCTCACTTATATGTGGAACCTAAAGAAGGTGACCTCACAGAAGCAAAGAGTAGAGTGGTGGTTACCAGGGGCTGGGGTGGGCGGCGGAGAGATGTTGACGAAGAGTCAAAGTTTCAGTTACACTGGAGGAACAAGTTCAGGACATCTATTGTACAACATGGTGACTGTAGTTAACAACAATGTGTTGTATTCTTGAAAATTTCTAGGAAAGTAGATTTTAAGTGTTCTTGCCACAAATAAATATATAAGGTGATGTATGTGTTAATTACCTTGATTTAGCCATTCCACAATGTATACATACCTATTCAAAACATCACATTGTACGCCATAGATACATATAATTTTTGTCTCCTGGCTGATAAAGATCTAGAGTTGTCTCAGAGGATTAACTTGTGTCCTTCTTGGTAGAGAGAGGAGGGGACACCTGCACTAATTTTTGTCCTGCTTTTAGGCAAACAGAGGGAAGGCAGGGAGCTTTTTTGGTATCTGCTTCTTTCCAATGGCCTTCAGCTCAAAATAATCCCTATGCTAAACTGGCATGCTTTGGGGTGGCATATCCTGATACCTTTTGAGAGTGATGTATGTTGCATGTGGAATTGAAGAATAGTGTATTTTTGTGACAAAAATCTGGGCTCTCTTAGATTTGATATCATTCAGCAAATAATCACTCTCCACCTCACCCCTGTGGGATGAATACCATTGCCTGGCTCCTACATTTGAGGTCCCCAAATGAGAGGGGCAATGAAGTACACCGAGCCCTGCTCTCATTTGGGAACCCTGTAGCCACCCACAGACCCACTGACAAGAAGCGCCTCTTCAGGTTAGCGGGATTGCCTGTTCTTGGCAGCATCCCACCAAAAGCTGACTAATTCAGGGACCCAAGTCTCTGATTAGGTAAACTAGAAATATATATTTATTTTTTAGAGACAGGGTCTGGCTCTGTCACAAAGGCTGGAGTGCAGTGGCATGATCACAGCTCGCTACAACCTCAAACTCCTGGGCTCAAGCGATCCTCCTACCTCAGCCTCCTGAGTGGCTGGGACTACAGGCATGCACCACCGCACCCAGCTAATTTTTAAATTTTTCTGTAGAGATGAGGTCTACTGTGTTGCCTGGGTGACAGAGTGAGACCTGGTCTCTAAAAACAAATAAATAAATACATAAATAAAAGAAAGGAAAAAAAAAAGAAACCCCTGTGCCAGCTAGAATCCATTGAAACTAACCCTGGCTACTATCAAAAAGTAGCTTGGTTTGTTCACAAAGGCAGAAATAAAAAGAACGTAAAAGTAATGTGCTTGTTTCCATTGCATTTGTGAAACAGAGAACTCAAGTAAATGCTTTCTATTGATGGAATTGGTTATTCCATCAAACTCCACAGGAATTCAATCTTCTTCCATTCAATTCCATCAAAATCAGTTGGAATTGAGCTGAGTGTCTCACAAGCTTTAGTTCTGCAAGCTTTAATTCTGACTCAGCCAACCAGCTTTTACTAGGCATATAAGCTGCTCCCTTGCAGCTGGGGAACTTGGTGGAGATTTGCACACTTTTGGACCGGAGGTGTGTGACCTCAGGGCCTGTCATCGGGCCCTGTTCATTCTGAACATAAGCCACATCTGATGGTCAAGTCTTCCTAAGTTTAGAAACGGACCTCAAGTGGAGAGAGTGCATTTCCCTGCAAAGGGCAGCCACGCAGCTGGTCCTATTTATATGGCATATATTCAAATGAGGGCTTAGCGAATCTAACATCTGATTGGATTAAAGTGCACATGTAAATCAGCTGCTTCCAGTTCAGCTCTCTAATTGGTTGAAACAGCTACAGGATGTCAGCCAATGGGAACCCAAATACCAAGCTGCCAGGCAATTCCCCATTGCGGGAATGAAGCTTGGTTACTCTCGGGAACAGAGCTTTTCAACAGAGGGAAATCTACAACTATGCCTCATGATGTTTATCAATTAAAAAAATAAAAAACCCTCTGGCAGTTTGATGAAGCCTATAGATCCTGTCTCAGAAAATTTTTATTTATTTATTTATTTATTTTTGAGACAGAGTCGCACTGTGTTGGCCGGGCTAGAGTGCCGTGGTGTCATCCTAGCTCACAGCAACCTCAAACTCCTGGGCTCAAGCGATCCTCCTGCCTCAGCCTCCCGAGTAGCTGGGACTACAGGCATGCGCCACCATGCCCGGCTAATTTTTTCTATATATTTTTAGTTGTCTAATTAATTTATTTCTAATTTTAGTAGAGACGGGGTCTCGCTCTTGCTCAGGCTGGTTTCCAGCTCCTGAGCTCAAACAATCCGCCCGCCTCGGCCTCCCAGAGAGCTAGGATTACAGGCATGAGCCACCGCGCCTGGCCTCAGAAAGTTTTTAAATGCATCAAAATTTTTTTAAAAAAACCAAATACAAGGGAATCAGTCATATTGAAGTTATGAAAACATAAAATTAACTTGCCACACGGAAAGGGGGCAAAACAACGGAGAAACATCTGTGGAGGTCACAGCCCAGGGACACAGGCCCAGTGAGAGGCTGAGATTCAGTCACAGCATTGTGATTAACAATGCTGTGACATTCAATCACAGCATTCCTGTCACCCACACCTGGCCGTTAGGTTGTTTGTGTGGACGTCCCTGGTCCCCGGAGTCCCAGTGCGGAGAATGAGTACTGGCACCGAGTCAGCCCATGGCGGAGTGATCGCAGACACGGCAACTTAATACAAACAGTTTATCACATAAAAGAATGAAAGCAAAGGGAGCTACACGAAGGGAAAATACATTCCAGAGAGAGTGGAACAGCTCACTCCCCAGGAGCGGATGGAGAAAGAGGGGAAACTTGCGTACATGTTGCCTTTTATAAGCCCACGAGTTTGTCCCGCCTTCCCTGCCCCCCCCAGGATTGGTTGCTGTTTCCCGCCTTTGGGGGTGATTGACAGGTTAGTGTTACATAACAGATTACATGTCAGGTTACAGCGACAGGGTAGGTTATATAATAGTTTCCCTTTCTGCACATGCACCTTTTCCAGAATTTTCCACAAAGCTCCATCCATGTTATGCTAATTAGATGGTAATGAGCTCCAGGTTACTAGGAACTTTTTACCGTGTATGTTCCCACCAGGGAACAGTTCCTAGCCTCAATTTGGTTCCTAGCTACAGTTCCTCTCCTGCTCTCTGCCCTTAGCCACCTCCTTGCCACCTCCTTATCCTCCTCCAGACCTAACACAGCCACCACGCCAACCAGGCTCCAGCAGAGTAACAGTGTATTCCAGACAAAGTGGAGATGTTCTTAGGCAAGCCCAGAGTCAGGAGGGGAGACAAAAATGGGACCCTAAGGGAATGCAAAGCATCTGGTGCCAGTGGCTACCTAAGCAACAAAACAGCCCGACTCCAGCGGGGTTGACCCAAACGCTCATGCTGACAGCCTGCGCACCAGGGCGGCTGGGGGCTGGAACGGTCAGGGCTGCCCCTCCAGGACCCCCACACCCCACTAGGCCCCGACTCCAACACTGGGGATCGAGTTCCAACATCATGTTTTAGGGGGCCGGGACGAACATCCAAGCCATAGCAGCTCCCACTTCCCGTCCTTGAGGGTAAGAACGTTACTGTCCTTCCAGTATGAGTAGGACATCTTCCACAGGGGAATGTCATCCCCTGCTTTTAAGAAACATCACCAAGGTCAATGTGAGCTTCTTGCATCTGCTGGTTTATTTATTTATTTTTTAATGCCTTTAGTTGAAAATAGTTAATATGCCAGCAATGCATATTTTTTCCTCCTCCAGCATCCTAAATCTCATCTGAGTCATATGGGGAAGGTGGTTCTTTGCAGGCCATAAAGGGTGAGGGAATCCCTTTAACCCTGGCTGTTTTCCTCGGGAAAACTGAACATGGTCATCGTGTAAAAGTGGAATGCGGAGTGCTGGCTTCTGGAAGGTTCTCCCCACCCCAGCCAGGGTCGGAAGGAAGGAAGGAGGAGTGCTGAGAGGACATGAGGGCGCCTGTACCCTCCCACCGCCCTGGCCTACCCCTGACCAACCCTCTCTTCTGCAGGCGCTAGCTGTGGTGCGCACAACCAACAGGCGCGAATATAAAAGGCAGGCTCCAGAGTGGGAACCAATCAGAGTGTAGTCTGTGATCACTGCGGGCGGCCAATGGGAACGCGGCAGGCTCTATAAAAGCGGGCACCGCGGGTGGCTTGACCATACGGAGAGAGAGGAAGAGCTAGCGATAGCAGCTGTAACACTTGGAGGCATGGCTCGCACCAAGCAGACGGCGCGCAAGTCGACCGGCGGCAAGGCACCGCGCAAGCAGCTGGCCACCAAGGTGGCTCGCAAGAGCGCCCCGGCCACGGGCGGTGTGAAGAAGCCCCACCGCTACCGGCCTGGCACCGTGGCGTTGCGCGAGATCCGCCGCTACCAGAAGTCCACGGAGCTGCTCATCCGCAAGCTTCCCTTCCAGCGGCTGGTGCGTGAGATCGCGCAGGACTTCAAGACCGACCTGCGCTTCCAGACCTCAGCTGTGATGGCACTGCAGGAGGCCTGTGAGGCCTACCTCGTGGGGCTCTTCGAGGACACCAACCTGTGCGCCATCCACGCTAAGCGCGTCACCATCATGCCGAAGGACATCCAGCTGGCGCGCCGCATCCGCGGGGAGCGGGCTTAGGCTCCTTGTTCGACCACCATCAGTCGTCACCCCAAAGGCTCTTTTCAGAGCCACCCACTTGTTCGTGAAAGTGGCTGTAGCACCTGGGTTCCCGGGCTTCGCTGGGGGGCTCCCACTCCCCTCACGTCCCTGACTCGGAGGTCAGGAGGTTGGCGAGTCGAGTCTCGCTAGTCCAGTCTAACTCCGGTTAGGTCAGGTTGGAGGTCCGGCTACACCCGCCTGGACACCCAGCCCGCCTCTAGCCAGGTTAGGAGGTCAGCTAGCGGTGCTCAGCCCTGCTGTAGTCACAAATCCCGCGAGCCTGTGTGTGTGAGCGCCAGCGCGCATGCTAGAGCTCAGGCTGTTTATTGATCCAACTAGTCTGCGTTGTTAACTTATGACTTATGTCCTGTTAGGTTACAAGACCAGTAAGTGCTGTGAATGTTGCAATCTTGGCCTATCTTCAATTAGAAGTTCAGCTAGTTGCGTGTGTTAACTCAGTCTGTCTCCAGTTACAGTGGAAATCCGGTGAGTCGGGTGTTTACTTGGCCTGTTTCCCGTTAGATTCAAAGGAGGGCTAGGGTGTGTGTCACTGGCCCGTCTCCTGTTAGTCCACCTAGTTATGTTTGTCAACTCAGCCTAGCTCTAGTTAGGGTAGAAGGCTGGCTAGTTATATGTGAGAAACCCAGCTAGTCACGCATGTTAACTCAGCTTACACGAAATCAACAGTGGGAAACCCCAACCCTGAAGTTCAGAGGGGATGCTCTGTCCTGGCAGTTAGCTCACCTAGCAGTCGCTGGCACTGGTGGCCCATGTGCCTGGCGCTTTGAAACAGGCTTCCCAATAATACCAAGCAGACTGCTGGCGCTCTGGGGATGCGCAGAGACCAGCTTGCTGAGACCACCTCCAGCGAGGGAGGCCACGAGCCCAATGGCGGACTTCCACTGGGGACGACCTGAGCACAGCTGGGAGGGTAAGGATGTAAGGATTGTTCTCCCTTTGGTGCAGAGTGGAATCATTTGATCACTGACGACTTTATAAGATGAATAGAGACCCAGCGCTGGGCAGAACACAGAGGGGATAAAACCCATCCCCTCCTGTCACTGCCCGCTCTGCTCTCAAGGGGCTAACAATTGAGCGAAGGAGGCCCGTGTTGTATTGACAGCGAAAGGTCCTCTCATAAATAGCGAGGGCTGCATATTAAATGCTATCAGTAGGCAACGTTGGGTTTTGAAGTTTGAGTCCAGTTTATATCCAATTGACTCAAAATTCAAAAGCTTTTTTTTCTTTTTTTCCCTTGACACAAGGAAACAACAAAATTCAAAAGGTTTATCAGCTAATTAATACACACATAACTGAAAGTCATATCTTTATTTATTTTTTATGTGTGTGGGGTCTTCTGGTGAGGACCGACAAACCTGCTAGAAAATTCTAAAAGCTGTAACACTGTAATCTATCTTTTAAATTTTAGGGTGTCTAGAAGTTGATGGGTGACAGATCCTTGGAGCGCTACCCCAAAGCTGAGAGTATTCGGGGACAGCCGTGTTCTGGGGTTCAAAATCGGCTCTGGCCTTCAATACCAGACTCCTTAGTGATAAACGCAAGTCCGGACGCCGTCCCTATTCTGTGCTTCATGAAGCCCGTGTCCTGGGTGGGAAGGAAAGAAAGAAATGCTCCTCAGGCTGCCAGTCCAGGATCAAGGTGTTGGCAGGGTGGGTTCCTCCTGAGGCCTCTGTCCTGGGCATGTAGATGCCGTACTCTGCTCTCCCTGTGTCCTCACATGGTCGTCCCTCTGTGTGTCTGTGTCCTAATCTCCTCTCCTCATAACTGCTCTTCCTATGAGAAGTCACAGTAGACTGGGGCCCACGCTAGTGACCTCATTTTACCTCACTCACCTCGCTAAAGCCCTGTCTCCAAATACAGCCACATTCTGAGGGCCTGGGCGTTATGACTTCAACATATGAATTTGGGGGCACAAAATTCAGCCCGTAACAGACAACGGACACCTGGAGCAGCCACCGTGTGCCAGGTGCCATGCAAGTGTGTTCAGCAGAGTGTGGTTTTTCCGCAGCAACCCCTGAGCTGAACACTGGCGTGATCGGGTCCAGGGGCTCGTGCTCCTGCTGAGAGCAGGTGTCCACCCCCAGGCCACAGACTCGGGTAAGAAGCAGGCACCTCATGCAAAGACCCCAGGGTGGCCCCGGAGAACGGGGCAGCTCGTGCCTGCTGGGGAGCCTTGGCTGGGGGCTGGCGTGGCGGGGCTGGCCGCTCACCAAGGTCTGTCCCTTAAGAAGGGTCAGACAGTGAGGCCAATCGGAGGGTCTTCAGATTTCTTCTGCCTCCCCGGTTGAGTTCTAGAAGCTTCCTGGTGTGCCCCAGTTGCTGGGCTGCTCCGGCTAGGAGTGTCCCGCAGCCTCCCTGGGGCACCCTCAGCCCCAGCGCAGCACAGGACCCTCCAGGAAGGCCTGCTGCAGCCTCCCCCTCAGGGAGGGTCTGTCAGAGGGGCTCCCAAACCAGACCCGTTTTTTAAAGACTTTATATTTTAAGAGTAGAGTTAGGTTCACAGCTAAATTGAGTGGAAAGGGAGAGACATTTCCCCTATATACCCGACCCTACACACACAGCCTTCCCCATTATCAACACCCCCTGCCAGGGGAGTCCATCCGTTATAATCGAGGAACCTACAGTGACACGTCATTGTCACCCAGAGTCCACAGTTTACACTGGGGTTCGCTCCTGGTGGCGTGCATTCTATGGGTTTGGACAAATGTATAATGACACGTATCCACCATTGTGCTGTCCTACGGCGGCGTCTCACTGCCCTAAAGACGCCGTGCTCTGCCTCTCTCCTCCTGACCCCTGGAAACCGCTGATATTTCCAGCACTGTCTCTGTAGTTTTGCCTTTTCCAGAATGTCCTTTGGCTGAATCACACAGTGTGTAGCCTTTTCAGATTGGCTTCTCTCACTTGGTGGGAAGCATTTTATGTTCCTTTGTGTCTTTTCATGGCTTGATAGCTCATTTCTTTTCAGAGCAGAATCACATTTCACTGAATGTGCTGTAGTTTATCCATTCACTTACTGAACGACCTCTGGGTTGCTTCCAAGTATTGGTAATTATTCAGAAATCTTTTCGTTCCCTCACAAGATTCTCCATGTTTCAAGCGCTGAGGATTCAAAAAGAAAAAAAGAAATGCTATGGTCTGAATGTTTGTGTCCCCTCAAAATTGATATGTTGAAATCCTAACTCCCAAAGAGGGGAGCCTTTGGGAGGTGATTGGGTCATGAGAGTGGAGCCCTCACGGCTGGGGTCCGCGCCCTTCTATGAAGAGGCAGCTCACAGAATTCAGGGAACACTTGACTTGCGTTTGTGGGTGTATCACACAGGATATTACAAAGGAACAGCCAGTCCATAAGGCAGGGTCCAGAAGGTCCCCAGTGCAGGAGCTTCTGTCCCCATGGAGGGGGGACACTTCAACGTGTTCGCCAGCCCAGAAAATCATCAAATCTTGTTGTTCAAGATTTGATGAGTTCGAGGGCTTTTGTAGAGCGTAATCTCTGGCCCCCTCTCCCCTTCCTGGAGGTGGGGCAGGGTATGGAGTGAGAAGTTCCAACCCTCTTATCTCTTGGTCTTTCTGTGACCAGCCCCTTCCTGAGACTATCTAGGGGTCCCCACCTGAGTCACCTCAGTAGCTTAGACTCAGGTGTGATGGGAAGAGACGCCTTACGAATAACAAAAGACATTCCTATCCCTTGGGAAATTCCGAGGGCTTTAGGAGCTCTGTGTCTGGGGACAAAAACCAAATGTCATTCTTATTAAACTACGTCATCTGAAAGACCACCAAGATAGTTACATAGTAGAAAGGAGAGTTTTATTGGTGATGTAGATGGGTTCAAAGATTCTTTGATGTGTAATTGGTTAAAGAAATAAACCTTTGTCTAAAGGCTTAGAACATCTTAAGTCGAGATAAGAAAGTCTGTCAGTCACAGACAAGCCACTACATGCTGAGTCAGGTGACTTGCTAAGCAGGTTGATGGCCTGTAGGTGATCTGACCTTTGCCCTGCCTGGCCTTAGGTCCTGTTAATAATTTAGTATTTTATTGTTACAAAGAGTCTGTTTTGTCAGTCTTATGATCTCTTTTAACATTAATGCTCGTCAATTGTTTTGTCTGAACTCTAAAAGGGAGGGGGTATAATGAGGCGTGTCCGATTCCCCCTTCCCTTCATAGCCAGGAACTCGGTTTTAAGGTTTTTCTGGCCAGGAGGGGGTGCGTTCGGTTGGCAGGAGAGCTTAGGATTGTAGCGTAGTTGACATTATCTTGCAGCTAACTCAGACCAGGTGGCACAAAAGACCCCACTGTGGAATGTTAAATACACCTTTTCCAAAAAGACCACCACCTTGACTAATCGGATTGTGTAACTCTGTGCTATCCTGGTGTGGACTATGCTGAAACCCCATTAAACTTGCCAGACCCCATCTATGCAAATGAGCCCAAACCCCCCCACTTTGGAGCACTAACTCCCATCCTTTGGAGTCTGTGTTTCCAGGTGGCCTTCCTCAAATCTTATGATCAAATAAACTCTACTTTTAACCGTACGTAGATCTGAATCCGTTTATTTAAGGCTTTGAGAGTTGCTGACCCCCGTCCTGAGGACTGTGCTAGGGGAGGAGAGATAATTCCTCTCTACCCTTATAGTTCTTGGTTGGGCCTTCCCGTGGCAAAAGGCAGATTAATAAGAGAAAGATGAACAAAATGTTTAATAACCTGCACACCTGGGAGATAGGGAAATCCCAAAGAGGAAAGTCTCTAAGACTAAATCTCAAGAAGCGTCTTTGACTTCAGGTATAAACACTGCAGTTCCCAGAACCAAGAAGTGAGGGGTGGGGACAGCTGTGGGAGGTGGTGAGGAAGAGGTCCTTAAGCAAGGGTGAGCTGTGTTATGCAGATCTGAGTCAGTGCCTTCTCCGCTGGTGAGAGTGCCTAGTAATTTGGAGACTCTCCCAGGTGCAGAGGGGAGCCA